CCCTTTTTTCCCATTTCCAAGTTGGTTTTACATTCTTGCAACTGAGAGTGTTCCAGTGGACAGTTTTATTTGCACAAGAAAAACAAACAGTTATTGTCTCAGGTTTGGCTTGGTTTTCAGAGTTCATTTTTTGTTTGGATATTGGGTTTGGGTTGGGTTTTTTTTGTTGTTGTTTAAGAGGAACAGCAATTAGTGTGCTATGGTAAGGCAAGAAAGCCGAGGAGGCTTATTTTCAGGACAGCTGCCCTCTGAGACAGGTAGGCTCCCTCTCCATTCCTGGGGACACACCGAGCAGAGACACAATGCCAGCAGTGCCTTCGGTAGAGAGTCCTCTAGTACCCGAGCTGCAGTTTGAGCGTGTATGAATTGAAATGGTTATTTTATGTGCAAGTGTCAGCCACGATTTCTTGCCAAGGCATTCTGGGGAAAGACGCCAAGGATCTTCCTCTAGGTGAGCCAAGCCAAGGTTTTATTCAACAGAGAAGCTTGATTTTGTTTCAGTAGAAACTATTACTATTGCAGTATTTCATCAGAAAAGAGAAAGAAGAGAAACATTGAGTTTGGTGCTATATTCAACTTACCTTTTCATTCCATGCCCATAATCCAATCCCAAGAAATGCTATGCCCAGGAACTAAAGAAAGAAAAATAAAACCATATCAGAGCAGGAACTATACATTTATGGATTTATTTGTGTTTTTTTTAAAACATACACATTGACTCATCCTCTCTGTTAGATAATACATTTTAGCAGGACTTTGAGGGCTTACCAAAACTTTTAAAATATGTATGTAGTACACATTGACTCATCCTCTCTGTTAGATAATAAATTTTAGCAGGACTTTGAGAGCTTACCAAAAGTTTTAAAATATGTATGTAGCTGCTTATTTTACAACTCAACCATTGTAACTGGAAGAATTTAAAACTTGCACAACTCATTCAGGGATGTTCCACATAGAAACAGTAGATGCAATAAATGTTACTTTCTCAGCATCAAGCAAGGTTCGTTTTGAGTTTGTAAGACTCAAAGCAAACTCCACAATCAAGCAACACATTATTTTACTGTTGTATTACCACTACCTGCACAGAACAACTGTCCTCACAGCCTCACAGCTCTCTCCCAGTGAGAGAAAGTGAACACAGAAAGCTGTTTAAATATAATATAACCCATGATTTCGAAGGGAGGGGGGGTGGAATTAAAATACTGATCTAAGAAAGCAAGAATTTTTAAAAATCCTGAGGCCAACATTTTATAACCTGATACTGAATGTGTCTGTATTTCATAAAGAAAGTTTTCGTCCCTGTCTCCAAGGATCTCAAAATCACCAAACTTGAAAGACAGTGTCTCTCCCCCCCATGATGGTAAAGGTAACAGCACCTACGACTTTGTTATGTCCCCATATTCTCTGTTCCACTGAATAATTCAGAGTACATAACTTCCCTCCAAATACTACAAGGTTTTCACACAAAACCCACGCCAAGGATCAGTGAAACAAGCAGAACAGGCAGAATAAGCAACTCTGTCTCCCAACATCGCCACTGCGTATTTGGCACAATACAGTACCAATCCTGTAAAATGTTTAAAAAACATATAGTAGGTGCCTGAGCACACCTCTAAATGTCCATCTGCCCAACTTTCATCTCTGTATTTTAAAACCTAAGTGCTGGCTAAAAATAAAACTATATCCACTCTAGTTTCAGGGCCTGTAATGGAACATTGCTCGAACATCAAAGTCTGGTT